GTCTGGCATTCAAAGACCACGTTTTTCGAGTGTTTCAACAGAAACCGCTAATAGCTTCGATGACCACATTTCAACACAATTACGAGAAAAGCGCATTTACAACCCGACCAGACTTGTGTATATTAAAGTCAAGTTTCTTTTCGTTTTCAAAGGTGCGGAATGTGTGCCTTAATTGATACCTCCTGTTAAATCGTCTGTCGCGGGTCGCGCTTCTTTATTTACCTGGGTAAACAATACGATGTTTACGGCATGCCTGTGGCCTCTGACCACATGTGGAACTGCTGCTTCCACGCGATGCGTCGCTCATACTGTGCCATGCATTTTGTGGTTTCTAGGATATTCTGGCATCAAGAATCTAGGGGGTTCACATCAGCACGAATTGTAGCCGTTGAGTAGTAGGTGTCCCTTACACTCTCATAGTAGGGGGGGACATTTGTTGATTTTCGTTTCTATGCCATCATTCAGGAGCTCGTTATTTTTAAAGCTATGTCTGCAGCGATATGGCAAGTATAGCCCGCGTAGTCTGCTGTTTCCTTCCTACTAGGTGGCATTCATTTATCAACTTCAAAAGGAAGAAAGGCAAGCGATCTGACTGAAACTCGAACCAACTGAGTAACCTCTCGGTACAGGGTCAGATACTCGACCGACTGAGTAACTCCGGTAATATGCAAAACAAAACGTTTTTATCGCAATCAATCATCAGTTGTGTGTGAAAGGTGTTCATCATGCGACATGTCGATAATTAATCAGGTAATTATGAACTAATCTAAGTCAGTTGTCTTTATATCATATTGTAGCCATTGCATTTGTCCGTATGTTACGGACGTTCCATATGTAACGATATTTGGAGAAAGAAAAGTCGCATACTACCAAATCTGTCTGCCTCTGTACTCTGCGGTCTCTAGTAAATCGAAGGCTCGGGACAAACGAAAGAAACGGCTAATGCAAAATCAAGCGGATGATCTGAATCCACTCATATGGCATAAATGAGGAGAAAATTGAACAGAAGACTTGGAATTCAATCGGAGGGTATCGCCTCTCTTCCATCTTGAACGTTCGTTTGTCCGTAGGACTGGCACTGTGATAAAAGGAAAGCAAACGCGATTCAGGCGATTAATCAAGGAACCATTGCACTTAATTGACATAAAGGCAACTTAAGTGCGATCTCATACGAGTGAGTGATAGCTTGGATGTCTTCAGAAACTGCATTATACAAATTCACCGTATCACGCGCACGATGTGTGTTTTTGTGGCCAGAAGGGCTAAGTGCTTTGTTTGTATTTGCAAATTCGTGTTGAAATTAAAAGCTATCAATATCCGCCGTCATGCTATGTTTGCCTGGAATACGAATCGAAAGAAGCTGCTGCAGTACCCAAGGTTTGAATATTCGTACCTCATATACAGAAAGTGGTGCCCTTCTTGCATACTCAGTAATATGGCAACCAATCAGTGAAAAAATTTACAGTCCCTTGCATTCATCCTAGTCATGGAAAAATTGTTGTGAATGCTCAACTGAATCCGCAGCCCTATTTACGTTTAAGAAGCACTTGAAAAATCTTACATGTGGTAGAAAATGCCCAAGAGGCACCGCAATCTCCCTGGTCCCTGATCGGGTGTATGAAACCAGGCCACTTCTCGCGTGCATCGAATCTTTCAGGTAGAGGTGGGATCATCTCGATCGGTAACTCGTTCATGTTCTTCACGGTCCTATCTGACAGCAGCGTTCCCAGTCGATACCTGATTCCATCCTCCAGCGTCAGACCCCAGAATTGGCTGTAGTTCTGTGCTTGCCAGCTATGAAGGAAGGAATTCGATCAGCTGTAAACGACCACAAAGAAATTCATTATCAGTCTACCTGTATCGACCGCGGTGAACCTTCTCATAGAGGTCCTCTTGAATTACGCAGGGAACTTCGTCCTTGCAGTGGAATCGATATCCATCAATCGTCGGTTCGCATGTGCTACAAATATCGTTTTAAATGCGTATGTCTAATATAGCAACTTGGTTATTTGACCTACCATAAGTTGCAGTTAATTTTATACGTTCCTCCAACGGGGTATACAGCACCGGTTTTGTCGTGACAACCTACAATAGACAAGGTCACTTTTTTAAATGCTTTGCACAACGCAGTTTTAGAAAAATACCTTAATTGACAAAATGCCAAACGGTCAAAGGCAGCTAACAAACGAATATCATTTATTGTACTATCATGTATTATTATATATTACTGCTGCATATTTTCTCATAAAGTATATAATTTGCCAGCAGCTAGGGGCTGTACATAGCGCTAAACCATCTGAATCCCGGAACAGATTTGCTATATCCATAATTTTTCGCACTATTTTGCCTGTATTCAAAACAAATTTTTTGTGACACTGTTTAAGTGGTTTTTCTGTGATCTTCAGATGATGTCCTGCTCATCTTTACCGGTTTTTGAATAAAGCCATT